CCCTTGCCACCTGCGTCAATACATATAGATATAGAGAGAGAGAGACAAAGAAATAAGGAAAGTAAAAACAAGCAGAGTTTCGACGAATAATTAAGGACCGACAAGAGGGAATTGGGCTCAAATGAAAGAATACAACATTCAAAGGGATGGGAATTTATACACCACTTTGTTTGGCTAAATAAATAAAAGAAAAAATGTACCATTAGGAAACTCAAATTATAGGGGAAAGGGTCAAAAATATCCCTTAATTTTATTTTATCAGTTGACTATACTCCTACCACTAAAGTAAAGCTATTTATACCCTCGTCGTCACTAATTTCACCATTTATACCCCTCAATTGACGAAAATACCCAAATTGACTCAAATTAACCCAATTTTTAAAAAAGACTCATTCCATATTTTAAACCCGCTGCCCACAGTATAGCCCGTATAACCCATTCTCCTTTTACCCATTTTTTCAATTTTTTCCATATAACCCATTCCCCTTTTCCCGATAAATCATTTGTGTTTCCATGGTGAATTTGTTTGACATAATCTGTTTCATTTTATTGAACCCTTTATTTGTCATAATCAAGTAATGACCTGAATCATGACCCAAATAAGAAACATGCATCCAAGTTAACCCAACAATGCTCCAGAAAGCATATGAATCAAGAAACTATCACTAAAAATTACACCATAGAAGGTCAAGAAAAGCAAAAACTCAGTAAAACATAATGAATACATAACCCCATGACCCTTTTTCTCAAACAATCTAGCTTTAGCAAAGTCAACACAAAGCTTTCTATAATCCCTTGATACCTCAAAAACTTGATTATCTTCTAAATAACAACCAGTAAAGAAGGTATCAAGATGTTTCCAAGCAGTACCTGGATGAAAAGCAATGAATGCATCAGTTTCTTCTTGTCCAGCAAGATTAAGTAAAGGGATATCCCCACTAGGGTGTTGCTTAATCCAATCAGTCACATTAAATGGGTAAGCGAAATGAAGAACAATCGAGGAGAGGTTAATGGGTAAAGGGAAATGGGTTATATGGAAAAATTTGAAAGAAAGGGTAAAAGGGGAATGGGTTATACTATGGGGCAATGGGTTTAAAATATGGAATGGGTCTTTTTTTTAAAATTTGGGTTAATTTGAGTCAATTTGGGAATTTTCGTCAATTGAGGGGTATAAATGAAGAAATTAGTGACGGCGATGGTATAAATAACTTTGTTTTAACGGTAGGGGTATAGTCAACTAATAAAACAAAGTTGCGGGGTATTTTTTACTCTTTTCCCCAAATTATATGGTGTTCTCTACCAAGAAAAATTTAAGAATGACTTTCTCTTTTTATTTTCTTTTTTTAACTTGAGAATAATAGTTGCCACAATTTCTATTATTGTCTTTGTTCTTTGGGTGATCACTCTTTATGCAAAATAAAGTACAAACATCTCTTTTTGTTAATCAATTATAATTCAAATACATTTCAATCAAAATAAAGTAGTCAAAGTTTTAACTTCTAAACACTTAGTTTATACTAATACTAGGTTGCCTATTTGTTAGTATTTTAATAATGTATATATGTTATTTATGTAACTATATACTTCGGTATGGTATTCAGTATGTTATATCTAAGTACCAAATATTGTACTGAATACCAAAAAACATAAAAATGTATATCATATACCACACCAAATATCATAATGTCAAAACCATGGTATTAAAATTTTGGCTTAAGTCATCTGCGGCCCCTTAAAGTTGTCCGCATAATTCATTTAGACACTTCAACTAGGACTAGTACCTATTGAACACTTTTATTGTTCAGAATAAGTACCTATTTGACACTTTTCACTGACATGGCAAGGAAGGTGTAATACACATCCATTCAGCGCGTCAGAACGTATTTTTGTTTTTTTTTTAAAAAAAATCTCTCTCTTCTTCCTTAGCCATAACTTCTTCCAAAACCAGTACCATCTCCGCCGTTGCCGCCGATGTTGCCACCACCACCTTCCACCCTTTTCTTTTCTCCTGCCTCCTCTTCCTTTCCCTCCCCCTCACCTCTATCGTATTCAACTGGGAAAACACCATTACGATTTCCTTCTCCATTTTCTTTAAATTTGTTGGATATTGTGATCTTATTTACTGAAAAAAATAGAGACTCATACAATGACTACTCTGTTTCTTCTTCCATTTTTTTTCTTATTGAAAAATATATCTAACAAATCAGATTTAAAATAAAAAAACGAATCACCTCTCCTTCCTCCTTTCTCTGTGTATTGCTTAGATGATTATGTAGTCAATGATTTTATTGATATCTAAAATTATAAATGGTTCATATTTTGTAAGTTCATGTATTGATTAATTTTTATGTATATGTAATTTGCTATTTTCAACTTTAAAAAAATGATCTGAAAAAAATTAGTGGATTAAGTGGATTTGAAGGTGACGACGGCTATGGTGGAGGACGGGGATATGGTGACGACGACTATGGTTGATAGTAAATTTGTCTCTACTTCATATAAATTCTCAATGCATCATTGGACATTGCAACAAGTTGCTTGATCTGTAGCTGGGTGGGTGGCAACTTTAAATTTTTCTTTTTTCTTTTTTCTCCGTCAAAATGCCACATGTACGTCATTGATTTGTCAATTTTCTACGTCATCGTGAGTGTATTACACACATTTCATACTTTAGCTGATTGTCAAAAAAGTGTTCAAAAGGTTCAAATCTGAATTAGTAGAGGTGTTCAATAGGTACAAGTCCTAGTTGAGGTGTCTAAGTGAATTATGCGGACAACTTTAAGGGGCCGTCGATGACTTAAGCCTAAAAATTTTGGTATGATATGGTATTTCGGTATGTACCATACCATGTCCACCCTTATGTAAATAACATTAGGCAAGCCCTACACGACAAAATTTATATGTTTAATTATTTTTTTGTTCAAGTCTACCCGTCTGTTAGGATGCCTCAGCTGCACACATCACTGCATTTCCACTTGACACCTATCGCAATGATAAACGACTCGTCTCGCCGTGACCTTCTCTTGAATTCACAAAACAACTTATGTCGCTCCATCCTCACAGGGGCAGAGAACCCATCATTGTCTCGGTTGTGCTACTGGAAGATCTGGGGAAGTTGGAATATGAGAGCACTCTTCTTGGGGTGGGCTTACTACTAAGATGCTTTCAGCAGTTATCTGCTCCGCACTTGGCTACCCAACGTTTACCGTGGGTATGATAACTGGTACACTAAAGGTGCGTCCTTTCTTGTCCTCTCGTACAATGGAAAGATCCTCTCAACGCTCTAACGCCCTCACCAGATATGGACCTAACTATCTCACGACGTTCTGAACCCAGCTCACGTACCTCTTTAGCGGGCAAACAATCCAACCCTTGGAACATACTACAACCCTAGGTGGCGAAGACCCGACATCGAAGTGTCAATCCTTCTCGTCGATATAAGATCTCAGGGAAGATCAGTATGTTATCTCTAGAGTAACTTTTATCAGTTGAGTGATGGCCCTTCCACTCGACACCATCGAATCACTAAGGCCGACTTTCATCCCTGCTCGATGGGTGGGTTTAGCAGTCAAACTCCTTTCTGCCTTTGCACTTGAGGGCCAATCTTCGTCTAGCCCAAGGAAACCTTTGCATGCCTCTGTTACCCTTTAGGCTTACGCCTTATAGAACACAAGGTTAAAATGTTGGCCTTCCAAAGTGATATCTCACTGATGGCTCGCCCCGCCCCCGGAAGGAGGCCTTCGTCGCCTTTTACATAAGTTGCGCATGAAAGGCCCAAAGCCAATCCCAAGGATCAATGAAGATTCATAGTGTCTTTCTGTCCAAGTGCAGGTGCAGGTAGTCCGCATCTTCATAGGTATGTATATTTACCGAGCCTCTCTCTGAGATAGTGCCTAAATCGTTACGCCTTTCGTGCGGGTCAAAACTTACCCAATAATGAATCATGCTACCTTAGGACCGTTATAGGTAGGATTGCTGTTCACCGGGGCTTCGATCCTCGGTTCCCCTGTCATTAGGTCACCAACTTCCTTAACTTTCTGGCACTGACATGTGTCATCCCCATACATGGTCTTATGACTTTGTGTAGACCTGTGTTTTTGGTAAATATTCGTTCGGGTCTAATCACTACGACCCCTTTGTGAGGAGGCACCAAAAAAATTGTATTTCCTTCTCAAATAATCATCCACCACCATCCAGCCTAGCTCTTCTTCTTCTTCCTTCACACCGACCGAACACCACAAACCACCATCCCACAAACCACCAGTCACTACAACAATCTAAATCATTACCACAAACTTCCATCCTTACCACCTTTGTTCTTCTCCCTCGTCACTGTTAACCACCAAACATCTCTTTTCTAGTGAAACCCATCACGAACCAACGAGCTTTAAGCTCGCACAAACCCAGACGAAGCAGATCTCAGATGAACAATAATAACACCATCTCCGATGAACCAGCTCCTTCAAAACCCCACTAAAAATGTTGTCTAGATGCGCGTTTGTAAGAGGTAGAAGATACTCAATGAAATACTCGAGGTGTACGGTAGCTAGTCTAGACGCTACCGTTATAAAGAAGAATATTGTCAAGTTGCATAATGTGAGGTACAAGGTACTCCATGAAATAATTGAAGTGTCCACAAGCTAGTCCAAACACTTCAATTATAAAGAAAAATATTGTCTAGATGTATTGGTAGGAGGTAAAAGGTACTCGATGGAACAATTACGGTGTGTGCAAGGTACTCGTTTCTTTTACTTTGGCTTATGATTAATAAATGAACAATCGAATCAAACTGAATCAAAGTTGATAAAAAATCAAACTGGATAAATTGATTTGATTTGATTTTGGTGTAAAATAATGTAATATCTAATTAAATTTATTTTATTTTATTTTTGATTAAGTTTTTCAAACCGACCCATGAACACGTACTAATAGTGGTACATAAAAAAAATAAAAATTGGGGTGGATTAGATTTTGTCTTAACCTAGCAGGAGCAATAGCCAAGTCAGGTGTAGCCTGCATCTCACGTCTCCAGATAGAATTGGAGAGGGTCGAGGGAGTTTTTGGGTGTCAAAGATGAAGACTCTTGTATTAGCTCCTTCACCTCTACGCACCTTTTCCCCATTTTCACGCTTTCTATACCCTAATCTCAACAATAATGCTACTCATAACTACCTTCTTTCTCCATCTCCATCTAAATCCTTTTCCTCACTAACCTCAATTCGTCCTCTTCTCGCCATGGCTTCTCAGGTTGACTAATTTTATTTTCCAGATTTAGTTTTTTTTTTATCAAATTTCAAATACTTGTGTTGATCAAAATTATTCTGAATTTCGTTTTTTTTGTTCAGAATGTATCATCTGGTGATGAGGTTGATATCTTTCAGTTGATTCAAGCTCATCAGGTGTCAATATTATCTTTTAATGGTGTTTATGTTTAGGCATAGAGGAATCCAAGCTCAGCTGAATGTATTGTGATTCTGAAATGTTTCAGGAAAAGGCTGCTAGGCTATCTCCTATTGAAGATGTTAGAACACTTCTTCATTATAGCCTCCGTGGTGTGCTTTCTACTTTCTCTCAGGTTCACCCTTTTATCACATATTTGTTTTTTTTTACTTGCATTTGTTGTTATAAGGGCTAGATGATCAATTTTATATCTTTAAGACCCAAAAGTAGATCAACTTTATATCTCCTATTCTCTTAATGTACATGTCATTTTAATTAAATGGTAGATTGGAAAATGATAAGTAATTGATATTCCATAGACTAACAAAAAGGAGTAACTGATAGTACATAATACATATGCACAATGGAAGAGAGAACATAGTTACATATTAGGAATGCATATAGTATATCATCTTATCAAACAATAAAAAAGGTATTCATATAGTGTATCATGGATCTCATTTGTGATTCTGACACATTATTATCTTGAATAAGAGTGACATGCTACAGCCAGATTGTTTCATTTAATTGATGAAATGTTGTGTCTATTGAGTGCATAATCAATATACTTGAAGGAAGAACTGTTTTTAATTACTATATGTACTTAGGGGCTAGGACAGAGATTTTTAGAGCAGATATTCCCTCTTAGTAGTACTGACCAAGGTAATGTAAATCCCTCTTAGTAGTACTATATTGCAGATTGTAGTCATACTTAGAATATGAGCTGTCTGTGTTTTCCTCTAGATATGGAGATTCATTTGATGATGCCTAATACATGATTAGAACCTAAGGAAATATCTTCCTTTATTTAAAACTTATCATATCAATAAGATTCTTAAACTATCACCTACAAGTAGGGGTCCATACTCCATTGGAAATCACCTTACATCAAAGAAGAGCATAAGACATCTCTTTTGTACTTTTGCCTGCATGTTGTAACTTGAAGTGGGAGAGAAATATTAAGATGTAGAAGCTCACTCCAGCATGTAGCATTATTTTGGCTTTATCAAAAATGACAAAAAAAAAGTAGCTTCTTGAGTTCTGGATTATATGGACAGATTTATTCAAACTGGCCAAGTTTTATGAAAAACTTATGATACCAAAATCATGAATTTTGAACATATGAAAGAAACGTCACCTTGTGTTACCTGAAAACTATAGCTGTTATACATATACTTTCATCTCTTTTGGTTCTAGATAATATGGAAGGATTATTCAAATTGACCCAATTTTATGAAAGAAACATCCACTGTACTACCTGACAGTTGATGATTTGTCATACATACAGTCATACACTTTCTAGTATTATGCAGAGTAAGTAAATGAACTATGAGCAGGTATCTGGAACCTACATGTTGTTACAATTTGATAACCACAACCGTGATTCAAAGGGCATTCTTAACAGAAGTGTCGGTGCCCATCTTGGGCCCAATTATGTAATCTTCCTTTCTATCAAAATGTGTTAGGCATGAAACATGAACATATTTGAGCGATAGGCTGAATGCTTTTCTTTATCTGTCATCTGAATGCTATGTACTTATTGCTCCATAGTTTTACAATTAACAGTGGATTCTTTATTGCAAGACGCCCTTGTTCCCACAATGTTTTTTTATTGTTGCAGAAGTATGAGGGCTATCCTTCAGCTTCCATGGTAGATTTTGCATGCGATACCTACGGATCTCCAATATTAGCTGTTAGCAACTTGGCTGTTCACACCAAGGTTCATTTTGTCATCTCTGGTGGTTAAAGTTGTGCCTAAGTTTCTGTATTTACCAAATTGGATAATAGAAACTTCATTTCTACAAATCTCTGTGTCCTTATTAAAGTTACTGATTTCAAAAATAAATAAATTACTGATTTCAAAAAAATCTCCGTGTCCTTATTTTCGGGTTTGTATTAGTTTGGATTTCAATTCAAAGGCTATTCAAGATAATTGTTTGAATTTGTTAAAAGAAAACAAAAGTGCTGACATCAATGTTCACCTTCTTATGTCAATATAGCGCTGATATCCTGAAAATGTTGTCTCTGTAGTATTCTTATTGTATTTGTATTTTTCAGAATTTGTTTTTACCCCTTCCCTTTCTTCATTTTCAGAACATAGGTTTTGATATGAAACCTGGTGATTAGTGCAGGACCTCCTAGCTACTTCTAGATGCTCATTGCTTGTTGCAAGAGATCCTGAAGATAGGACTGACTTAGTAATTACAGTGCATGGTGATGCTGTTCCTGTAAGTTGTCACTTTGAGAGAAATTTCTTTCCATCCCTCACTCTCTCTCTCTCTTCATTTGACGGGAAATGTATGTCAGTTTTTTCTTTATTTTTCTGATGGATGTCATAGGTACCGGAAACAGAGAAAGAAGGTATTCGAGCCACATATCTGGCTAGGCACCCTAAGGCATTTTGGGTAACTTGTTTCACCTCTTTCTATTTAGTGGCATCATGTATTTCACAATAGATATTCCTTCTTTTGTCCATCACATGTAATTACCGAACCTTTGTGAAGGTTGACTTTGGTGATTTCCAATTCATGCGCATTGAACCCAGAATTGTACGTTATGTATCGGGCGTTGCAACTGCCATATTGGGATCTGGAGGTTCGTGTTGAGTGTTGACTACTGGAATTGCCTCCTTTTGTTAATATTGTCTCTCCCCTACTCCACATAACACTTCGCATTTTCCCCCTTCCCACACTTGATATTTGATTTTGGGCCTCTTATTTCGCTCCTTACACCTTATGGGCTGAATAAGAGCAGGTAAAGCATACATCTGACTTCTTGCTACTAAATTGTAAAATCCCATTGATGAATCATATTAGATTTCAGGGTTCCACCTGCATTGTATTCGAGAAAATGAGAGAGTGACCAATTGTGAACTGCTAGATGTGTCATTTATTTTGTTGCACTCAATGCAATATTTGTAGTTCTTTCTTGTACTAAATGCCTCTTTTAACTCCTCACAGAATTTAGCAAAGAGGAGTTTAGAACAGCTAAAGTAGATCCAATATACCAATTTTCAAAGCCAATCACGGTATAGAAATGCTGATGTTCATTGTTTATGTTATGCTTTCTTCTTTTATGAATAGTAGTAGTTTTCTTATTGCTTTAATTTTTTAATCAGTCACATATGAATAAAGATCATACGGAGGATACCAAGCTGATTGTGCAGCACTCGACATCAGTTCCGGTACAATTCAGAACTTTTTTATAATTTTTCTGCAATGATGCTTGTTCATGGATCTTGGAAATTTTGTTTTACCAGGAACTTATGATGAAATCCAAAAAAGGAAAAGGTAATTAAATATAGAGCCAATACGGGAAGATAAGATCTTTCACAGGGCTTGGAAATGCACAGATGCAAACTCATTTATCACGGGACAACCTGGGAATTTTCTTTTATAGCAAAATACATATGTCCAGTCCAAACTTATTTTGCCTAATTAACAAATGACTAGAGCTAACACCCAAAAGATTACTTTTTTTTAAATGGATTGGAAATGCATGGGATGCAATATTCCACAAAGGTGCTGATAACTTGTTTCTCCAGCAGCTGAATAAATATAACATATAGCTGCCCCATATATGAAGTATGTCCGAGCTTTTGAGGATATGGCGCCGGGAAATGATGCATGATTTTTGTCTGCTTCTGGCAGTCCATTGACATTTAACATTACTGTCAATTAGTTATAGTTAATTTAGTTTTACTGGACATAGAGTGCAATGTGTTATCTCCTCCCAAAGTAAAAAGCTGCATTGACTTTTGATCAGGTGGACTTTGCGTACATGTTGGATGTAGACAGTCTTGGTTTTAATGTCAAGGTGAGGCTGCTATTCCATATCCACTGTTGTTAATTCATGTCTGTTGTAACTTTTTCTATAATTATTTTATCTCTAATATTTATGTAGTGGAGATATGCACTTGCGACATTCTGTGAGTTTGTCTACTTCAAAATATGTAAATTGCTAGTAACCTTTTTTAAGGAAATTGGCAGTTATGCCAAGAAATGACTAGTTGAGGAAGTGAACAGAAATATTTTCTCTTGCTCAGCTATGACAAGTGCTTTTTTCTTTCAAGCATGGCATGGACTGTATACTTGCACTTTAATTTTAATTTCAGGCTTGCTACAAGGACACCGACTTCAAGCTTCGAGTTCCATTCCCTAGACGTGCTGTAGACAGAAAGTAAGTGCCCAAAGTTCTATCAGAATTCTTTTGTAGGAGTGTACAATTCACGTTGATCTCCTTTTTTTGCTTCCTTTACTCTTCCCATTTTCTGATGCAATGTCTGTTTTATTATATGCTGTTTTTTCTCTTGTTTTCTTTTGGGTTGGGTCTGGCTTAAGATCTAATGTCTTTACTAGTGTGTTCTGGGTGAAAATAAATTTTTGAGTACACATGTAGGATCCTACATGTTCAACTGATATCTCTAACCAAAACAGCTGGTAATGTGGAACGATACAAAATTATATTCAACTGATAAGGGAGAAATTACAAGGTAACAATTCTCAACATAGGAAACCGGAGAAAAAAATAGACAAAGAGATAATAGAAAAGGGAGACTGACTCCAAAATGCTAAAACTTTAGCTAAGAAAATAAAGATGCAAGTTCTTCCATGCCCTATTCTAGAGCTCCTGTGCTGTTTATATAGGAGGGTTTTGATCTGAATATTTCTTGGCAGCTGGTTCAATATGTGCCACGGTATTTGGCAGGGGTAGTGATCCTTTCTTGGTTTTTGGGACCACATACTCATCCAGGTATTTTTGGGGACTGCTTGTCCTTGTTGTTGTGCCTCAGTGTACCCAAGTGGTCCTGCAGGTTTGTTACACTGCCGCCCCCATGAAGACGAACCTTGTTCTCAAGGTTCAAGTCGGGAAAACAATAGAGTGAGTGCAGGAAGGTCTTCCAGGTGGCCTCAGTCGGAGGCTAGCCCTGCCATTTGACCAGGAACTGGGTGATCTGATGTCCTCACTTTGTGACAATGCGCTGCTCCGAAATGTCTTCAGGTGTGAGCATCAAAGAGGAGTCTTGGTCTATAAGATCAATGGGGGTAACCTGTTGATCAGGGTTCCCTAAACACTTCTGCAGAACCGAAACATGAAAGACGGGGTTGTATTTTGGAGAAAGATTGGAAGTCCAGTTTGTAGGCAACCTCACTTACATGATGGAGCACCCTAAATGGCCCGAAGAACCTTCGACTGAGTTTGGTTTGGCACTGAAGGCGAAGAGAGAGCTGCCTGTAGGGACGTAATCGAACATACACCCAATCTCCAATCTGAGAGCTTGCATCTTGCGTCCCTTGTCTGCATCCTGATTCATACGTTCCTGGGAAGCCTGCAAATTGGACTTCAAGAGGGCCAGTGTTTCATCTTGGCGACAAAGGGACTCTGCCACATTTGGATTAAACGTGTGATCCATGATGTATCGAGCTACTGTTGGGGGATGCCGACCATAAACAATCTCAAAAGGAGTAGGCTAAAAGCTATGTTGGTATGATGTGTTGTATCGAAAATCGCCCACGAAAGTAGACGGAACCAAGTAGTAGGGATATCCGCAGCAAACCGTCGAATAAAAATCTCAAAGACACTTATTGAGAGCCTCTGTTTTTCCATTCGATTGCGGATGATAAGCAGAGCTCTTTGCTAATTAGGTCCCTTGCAGTCAATTGATCTCAGCCCAAAAATCAGACAAGAAAATAGGATCATGGCCTGAAACAATTGAGAAAGGAAAGCCATGTAGTGAGAGGTATTCTTGGACAAACGCTCCACGGACTTCTTTTATTTTTTTGATGAAGTAAACACTTCCACGAACTTGTGACTAGTGAATTTCGGGGGCAAGGCAATGAAATGGCCATGTTTTGACAATCTGTCCACGATTAATAGAATGACTGTGTCCCTGAGAAGGTGGGAGACCAGCTACCAAATCCATAGAAATATCCTCAAAAATTGCAGCAGGTATAGAAAGTGGAAGAAGATATCCAGCAGGTTTCAAACATGTATCCTTCATTTGCTGGCATACCTGGCAATTTAGGATGAGCTGCTTGACATCCTTGCTCATACCTGGCCAATGAAAATTGGATGAGGCGGTGAAAGAACCTCGTAATACCAGCATGACCTCCAATTTTAGAAGAATTTCATTCTTCTAAGAGCAAATGTTTTAGTAATGGATCAGGGGGAATAATCAAATGCTCACGAAAAAGAAGCAAGCCTTCCTGAAAGGTGAGGTGAAAGTGAAGCTGCTGGAGTAAATGAAGAAAAGGGTGAAAGAGGTGGGGTTGATTTGTGGCGCAATGTCTGGTGGGTTGGATAAGAGATAGAAAGATATTTTGTGATAGGAGGGGCAGGTTCGGTGTTTTAACTTGGGCCAATAGTTTCTACTCCTGTAACATGGCCAAACTAATAGCCTCATGAATGTCTGTGGGTCTAAATGCTAAACATTAGTTTGATCACCGGAGTAAGCCCAGATACAAAAGAAAAATTAACGCATCATCTCTGGAGAAGCATCAGTAGTGTGATTTGCAAGCTGCCCAAACCGAGAAAGATACTAAGTGATGGTAGATGTCATTTGTAACTTCTCCAAAAACTCCTCCGATGCTTCAATGATTGTGAACCAAAACGAATTACCAAAGCTTTGGTAAAGTGTCCCCAGACAATCAGTTGATGGTTCTTATATATCCATTGATACTAATCTCTAGCTATGCCCTCAAGATAGAACGAGACAAGGTTCGAACGATGTTCATCCTGGATATTATAGGCGTCAAAGTATTGGTTTGCTTGGAAAATCCAACTTTCAGCAAACTGGCCGTCAAAACGGGCTAGATCTATGGGTGCTGGTATCTCTACGAAGAGGGCCGAAAGGGTTTTGGTTTATAGCAAGGGTGGCTGTTGCGGTGGGTTCAACGACGGAGCGTAGGTGGGTGGAGAAAGGTGTTGATAGAAGAATTTTGTGTTGGTGGTATGGAAGAAAACTAGGGTTAGAGGTTGTTGGTCTTTTTTTTTGAGGGCTGGGTGTTCTGATTCTGGGTCTAGAGTGTGGAAATTTGGGAGATAATTTATTTGAAGTGTGGAGTTAATGGACTCAAAAGTCTTACTGTGAGAATCAATGGTTTCTTGCAGCTGCTTGACGGCCTCGTCCATTGTCCTTTTGATGACAATTTATTTAAAAATGTATTAGTTTTCGTAGTTTATACTAGTTTTAATTGTTGGATCAAAAAGGATTTCAATTTTACTGCGATGGAGGAGGGACTATGAAACTAATCTCTGAATTATCTCATTATTGGAAACAAAAAAAATGCTTATTTGATGATCACAAATTATTAGTACTCCCTCCGTCCTATATTAGTTGTCAAGGTTACTAATAATGCTCGTCCCAATTTACTCGTCATTTTACAAAATTAAGATGAAATTAACTTTTTTTGTTTCATTTCACCCTTAGTATTAAATGTTTCTTGAAATAAGATTAGCTTAGTTTTGTTCTTAAATAGAGTGCAATTTATTGTAGACAGATAAAGTGTAAAGTAGTAAAAAATACTACTTTTTGTTTATGATTTCTTAAGGAAAATGTGACAATTAATATTGGGACAGAGGGAGAATTGTCCTCGTGTTCAACAAACAACCAATTTATGTTTCATGGTTAGACCAAGCTGCATTATAATCTACTTGCATAAATGAGCATAGTGCCTAAGATTTCCTCAGTTTGTCTTCAATCTACAAGGACTAAGTGGAAGTTGGTTTGGGGAATTTTCTCAAATCATCAAGAGCCCCATATTCAGTTTCTCCTAAATCTTTATTTTTCATTGCTTTTGTTATAGTCACCGTTTTCGTATAAATTGAGGTCCTAAAAAAGTGTGTTACGTCTGCTATATTTTGACATGCCTACTACTGTGTTTCCAGTCTAAATCTTCCCTATATCAAATTTGCAGGGATGTGAAGGCACTTATTGTTGAAATGCTTCAGGCTGCCAGGACTTAGGCTCATTGACTAACCATTATGATTTCCCATTCCAGCTTCATATTGGTGTGGTAGTTCTATATCATGTAACTATCAAAAGCACGGCTCTGTGGAATGCTTGTTTCACAATGAGATCTCAAGATTCCTAAGCATATATATGTAATCTGATAGCAAACCAGCCATTTTAGCGATCATGATCTGGCTCTGGTGAAGTTTCCCAACCCCCCCCTTGATAATACACTGTAATGTTTGCCTATGTTACGTGTCGTAAGCAGTGCAATTGCAATGATGGTGATGTGATTAAAGTTTAAGTCATCTCGATTGTACCTTTGATGTGCAATCGTGTATAGTAAATGTTTGAGTTGACCGTAGTCGAACCTTCTGTATAATTGCATAGGCTAGGTTGCGATTGTGAAGGGTAAAATGTCATCAGTGCTGTATTCACGCCCAAGTCATGTAATCACAATGAAAAACTTGTAGCTACATAAATAGTTGAGAATGAAAACTAACAACCAACATTGAAGATTTTGGGTGAAGTGTCCTTGGTTTGGAGATAAAATGAGGAGCATATTCAACCTACAACTCAAGTTAACGATTTCCTACACTAATTTTGAGATTATACTCAAATTTGGTGTATTTCAACTATGAAATACTGAGTTTTTCATAGTTAGAATTGTGTAATTTAGACCTAGGTTCAAATTGAGAAAGTTGAGCAATTGGCCTAGCAATCTAAGTTAAAATTAGATTATGAATATAGATATAGAATCCTTAGCTACTTGTTAGGCGGACCTGAAAGCATGCAATTTTTCGGTTCATTACCGAAATAATTAATTAATTTTGAAGTAGGTAAAAACACACAAAAGTTTTGAAAGCGAAGAAATGAGGAAATGCCTAAATTACCCCTAGGATCTAGTATTTCAAGTCATGATGAGCTACTAAAACGGAATCAATACAATAGTTTTGAATGTAAGTAGTGCTTGGAATATAGAACACCAATAACAAAATAGGGAGGGAGTACACAGTGTTCTGAACTAAGCAGGTACCCCATAAATCTCCAAATCACCTTTTAAGCCTGCTTTCTATCTTTATTGATACAAGGATTAATATATGTACAAAAAGTACAGTAAGTGCAACGTAAGTACAAAAATACATACTTGGTAAGTACATCAACTACCCCAACTAAGTAGTGGCAAGAGTTGGTCAGAAAATACTTACTTATACCACCTTTGTAGAAATAAGGCAATCTGAATAGTAGTAAATGAACAAATTCAACAAAATAACTTTGTTGTCTTCTGAGTCAACTTTGTCAAAAGGGATGAAATAGATGAAAACCCCTCTACGAGCCTTCTATAATAACCATCCAATCCCAAGAAACTCCTAACATCAGTTGGAGATGTGGGCCTAGGCCAGTTTTGCACTGCCTCAATCTTCTGAGTGTCAACTCGAATCCCATCACTAGAAACAATGTGGCCTAAGAATGCCACAGACTTAAGCCAAAACTCACACTTAGAGAATTTAGCATACAACTCTCTATCCTTGAGGGTTTGGAGAACTATTATGAGATGACTAGCATAATCTTCCTCATTCCTCGAATAGATTAGAATGTCATCGATGAATACGATAACAAACATATCAAGATAAGGCTTAAACACTCTGTTCATAAGATCCATGAACGTTGCAGGAGCATTAGTTGAACCAAACGATATGACCAGAAACTCATAATGACCATAACAGGTCCTGAATGCTGTCTTAGGGATGTCACTTTCTCTTACTCCACTTGATGATAGCCTGATCTGAGGTCTATTTTAGAAAAACAAGTGGCAACCTGAAGTTGATAAAAAAGATCATCAATCCTCGGAAGTGGATACTTATTCTTGATAGTAACCTTATTCAACTGACCGGTAATCTATACACATTCTAAGAGAATCTTTCTTCCTCACAAATAAGATCGGAGCGCCCCAAGGTGAGACACTTGGTCGAATGAAGCCTTTTTCAAGGAGATCTTTCAAATGCTTTTTCAACTCCTTCAACTCAGCTAGAGCCATTCTATATGGAGGAATAGATATATGACGAGCATCAGGAATAATATCTATACCGAAGTCTATTTCTCTCTCAGGAGGGACTCCGGGAAGATCATTTGGAAAGACTTTTGGGAACTCACTCACAACTGGAACTGATTGAATAGGTGGTGTCTCAACACTAGAGTCATTAACTCGGACTAAGTGATAGATACACTCCTTGAAAACTAACTTTCTCGCCTTAAGGTATGAAATAAAAAGACCTTTAGGTACTGCTAAACTACTCCTCTGCTCAATAACTGGCTCATTAGGAAACTGGAACTTAACTACTCGAGTCCTATAATCAACTGAGGCATAACAGGCATGAAGTCAGTCCATACCTATAATGACATCAAAATCTACCATGTCTAACTCAACTAAGTCAGCCATGGTGTCCTTGTGATTAACAGAAATGACACAATCATGATAAACGCTCTCAGCTAGAATAGACTCACCAACAGGTGTGAAAACACTGAAGGGCTCAAGAATTTTCTCATGAAGAACATCAAAACTCATAGCAATATACAGAGTCACAAAAGACAGACTCACTTTTAGATCAAGCAAAACATATACATCAAAAGTAAAGACTTTGATCATACATGTGACAACATCTAGTGAATTCGAATTCTCTTGCTCTTGGCGACTGGTGATAGCATACAAGCTAGAATAGACTCACCAACAGGTGTAGAAACACTAAAGGGCTCAAGAAGTTGCTCAGGAAGAATACCAAAATCCATAGCAATATAAGGAGTCACAAAAGATAGACTCGTTCCTGGATCTAGCAAAGCATATACATCAAAACTAAAAACTTTGATCGTACTAGTGACAATATCCAGCGAATTCCCTTGCTCTTGGCGACTGGTGATAGCATACAGATGGTTTGCTCCTCCGCCCGTCCCTGAAGTAGCTCCTCTAGGTGCAACTCTGTCTGGTGGAGCCGCTGAAGAAGATTTGGGTCTATTGGCCCCATTACCACCACCCTGCATGTTCTTAGGGCACTTTCTCATGAAGTGACCTGCCTGACCACACTTTGAAGCAACCAGTGGAGCCATCACGACACACTCCTGGGTGGTTTCTACCACACTTAGCACATGCAGGAGTCCACTTAGTTGGTATGCATCTAGTTCTACACGCTCAGAATCTACAATATGCATCACCTCAAACACCTTCTGCAACTCTTCCACAAAGTTTTCCAAATCCTCATTGACACTTGAACCTGTGAAGTCTAGAGGATTCATCCTCAAGAACTCACGAATCTTGGATGTATTTGCCACATCCTGTCGATTCCCTCTTTGTTGTCCAGCTTGGTTGGTCACCACTTGACTCAACATCCGAATAGCATCCCGAAACTCAACATTAGTGACCTCTCATTGGGGTCGCACTTCTGGTGCATTGGGTACCCTTTGATCCTGAGGATCAATATTCCTCATACCGGGATGACCTATAATAGCTCTTCGTTGAGGCATAATCTGAAATATACGCGCAAGCACGAATTAGAAGAAACTTTTATAGAGTTGAACTATATCGCACGAAATAAGTATGAAAGAAATAAGATAGTTCCTAAATGTTGTAGATGTGGCGTGCTTCACATCGATAACTAGGACTCTACAGACACGAATTCATAGACACCCTAGGACTCTTGAACTTTGTGCTCTAATACCAAGTTTGTCATGCCCCGAGCCTATACCCTGGACGTGGCCGACACTCGAGAACCATTGCTGGCTCCAAGAGAACTCTTAGCCTGACTCAACTATCAGCGGAAGACTTACTCAACATTGGATAAACTCAAAAGTCTCAAATACTTAACTTAGAACATTTAAAATATTCAAACTGTCCACAAGGGCAACTCAAGTCTAGAACATTAACAATAGAAAATGAAAAAGACTCATGAACTAACACAGACTATTTATTAAGCCTCTACTAACTGAGATGGATGTCGGGACAAGACCCACGACATCCTACTAAGCAAAAACTGATTGAAAAGTAAACTCAAGGTGAAACCCTTTGGAAAGCAAGAAGGCTCACCAACTCTACCTGGAACTCGACTGGATCAACGGAGCGCCGGTTGATGATCCTAATTCCCTGTATCTGCATCATGAAACGATGCAGACCAAATAACATCAGTACATGGAATGTACGAGCATGCAAAGGGAAGTCTAAAACATGACATAAGCTTGAACTAGAACTGAAGAAACAACTTACCTCGTCTCAACTCAACTCAACCTCAACTCAATCTCAACTCATTTAAATAGAAAAGCAATAATAGTAATGCGATATAAAGAAAAGCTTTTAAAACAGTAGATAACAACTCAATGTATTGGAAAATACAATATAAGTCAGTTTGTACATAAAAATACAAAATAAACTCAGTTTCAGAGATTTTCTAACTGACAACAATCACTATGAGCTATGTGATAATACAACGTCTTTCCTACGCTGCCGGAACTATCTTATACCTTGACGGGGTACAGAACTCCTCAACTAAGTAGATCCACTAAGCTATGCTTAAAAAGAAATAAGGAATCATCTGAAAAGTATGACCCTTTCTACCCACGTTGACTACATGGTTTATGGGGGCTATGAGTTATCTGAACTCTCCCCCATATCGGTGCTCAATACTACTCCCAAAATATAACTTAGCTCATATGTTTAAAAAAAAAACATTTCCTCATCCTCAACTTTGATATTATTACTCAAAAGATTTCTCTTAAATGAGACAGTACTCAAAACTCCTCATGAACTCGTTTGGAAATCGGTGTTTCCTCTCATCTTAGATGTAAAGACATTTACTCTTGGGAATACTTAGTTCCCATATATCATTTTTAAAAAAAAAGAACTCAACTCTACTCATCCTCAAACTCAAGTACTCAAGTCTTAAAACAAGTTTTAAAAGATTGTAAAAGACTTCTCAAAACGACTCGGAAGAACTCTCAAGACTTTACTCTTAACTCTACCTTGAGTTTGAATTATGAATTCAAGGGTTATGATTCATGTTATGAATGATCTCTTGATGTTTAACAAAGATTTTAAGTGTGGATATCAAGTAGAAAATATGGGTACGATTCGAGGGAACTCACATGGAAAGAAGGACGGAAGTGTAGGGAACCTGGCGACCCTGGCACACTGAGTGGCGTGGGGCGCCAGGCCCTGAACTACTGAAGGTGGGTTGGGGC